TTTGGATTCACGTTTTGCTTCTCTAGCAGCAGAGAGCACCTTAAAGGAAGATCTTGTCAAGCATCAGGCAACTATCGACCTTTAGAAGATACAACTGGCCCAGGCACAACAAGAAATCTCTTTGCTGAAAACTCAGCGGGCAGTTCTTCAAGGTTGCGCTGGTGATGTCAAGAATCTGTTGACAACTGTCCTTGACACTCATGATCCCTTCCTTACCCTTACTATCAGACAGCATCTCCAGGCTAAACTCCTTCCTGCGATTAACATCTAGATCAAAATGAAGGGTGTCTCGGAGAAGCTTGTTCTTCTGCAACAAGGGGGAGAGGAAGGTTTATCAAAGACAGAACCGAAGGTTAATGTAGCTTCGGGTTCTGGAAAACAGTTCCTTGTTGAGAGCGAGTCAGATACTGATGAAACAATCGCTGAAGCTCTTCAACGAAAGAAAAGGGACAAAGAGCTGGATGAAACACTTAAAATAGCTCGAGAGGTCGAGGCCAAAGAAAGAAAAATCAAGGAGGATGAGGATGTTCTACAAGCCAAGAAGACTCTGTTCCCAGAATGGGACAGAGACACACTCATCAATCAAGCGATTGAGTTTCCCTCCATATATTGGTTGGAACCGATTGCATCTTTCGAGTATGATAATACCAAAGACTCGCAGTTTGACATGCTAATCACTCGAAAAGCTTTTACATTTCATTGCTTTGATGTCACTGCCGATGTCCCTCATCCGTACTTGAAGGTTGACAGAGAATTAATAGATTTCTATTTGAAGTATGGTCAACCACAGTACTTGACATGGAGTGCACAGAAGATAATTAAAGTCAAGGTACTGAAACCAACACAGGCTGGGAAATTTGTGAACGTTAACCTCAAAATCAACAGAGGAACGGCCAACACAGAACATTTCATTTCTCTGGCAGATCTTCCCAGTCTAAATCCGCATGATTGGATTCTGCTATACAACATTCTTCTCTCTAATCATAGAGAGTATGAACCGATTCTGAAACATCTCAAAAGAATGTTGGCTTCCTACATCCATGAGCTCGCCACTATGGATCAGGAAATAGCAAAAATAATGAACAAGAAACCGACCGTCAAGCCTACTTCCAAGACAGGAGACGTTCACAAAATGAAGTTAGGGCAAATTGACTCTTCAAATCTGACGGTCATGTTCACAAGAGGCGACAAGCATAAGTTTCTGTTTGCTTTGGTAGACAAGCATCTGTTTTCAACAGATTGTCTAGAGCATATTATAAACATCATTCACCGATGCAAGCAGAACTCCACAGCAGACAAGAAGAACTTCACTGATATGCTTCGATGGTATATTACCTTCAGGCAACACATTCTGGCTATTATACCGAGGATTTTTGAGACGGTGAAGAAGCCTTCTGCTGTTAAAAGGGAATGAAGATTCGGTGCCAAAGACGCAAAGGGGGAGATTGTTGAAGATTATTATGTTGCATCTTGGGCCCTTTTGTTTTACAACCGGATTGGGCTTGTCAATCCGTGTTTATCTAGATTAGCCTTCTTTTGATAGATAAAAGGTTAGGGTTTCGTTATAAATATATGCATGCATGTATGCGTATAGGCGCGGTCGTCACTCTCATTGATTATTTGTAAACCCTAAAATCCTCTACAGTTGATGTTCTTTATCGAGCTCTTCTGAGGATTGTTTATTAAATCATTCGACACCTTTTGATCCATTAGCTTGTTCTTAATTGTTTATCTAGTCATTTATCTACCTGTTTCATAGATCTAATCGATCTTTAAGTTTGTTTCAAACTCATCAGTTACTTAGGAAAAAGTGAATAAGATGCTAATCCATGAAATTACACTTTGCACTTTGCTTAAGTCGTTAGTGGAGCGTGTGTGGTTAACCGGCACACTAACCTGGACTTAACAAGGTATGCAAAGGGTAACTTAATATTTATCATAGTATCGGTGGAGCGTGTGTGGTTAACCGGCTCATCGATTAAGGTGTAAATATTAAGGGTACTAAGTATATTTGCATGGTTACTTCACACCTTGTTTTGTGATCCTCGGCATCCCAGTCACAAAACATGAAGGCCACACTCGAGATTGAAACACACCATTGAAAAGTTCAATGAATCTCAAAGATCTAGGAGTGTCAAAACCAATTAAAAAAACCTAATAATTTATTCGTTTTATCTTGGTGGAAATTGGTGAATCGTCATTCACCTACCTTCAAATATTTATAGATTGGATTACAACATCGCTCTTCCAAGTTATAAAAGTATTGTGTTGGGTCCTAGCCTTAATATTTCATATTGGGTGTTATATTAAGGACTTTAAATCAACTATCTTGAATATCTCCCAAAAAGATGTCTGGTTTAGACATTTATGATCTTCCCAAATCTCTTGAAACAAGCTTTTCTAAATGAAGATGATGTCCCATGGAAATCATACTTCTTTCACCTTCTCCAATTATTCTCCCTAACCCACAAGTTCTTGAAAAAGTTTAAGGTCACTCAAGCCCTATTGGCAAGTAAATGTCTATGTGTGATCACATCTTGGAGATGTAGTCACATATTGAAAAGTCGGGAGGGTTGGTTGTCAAAGTCTTGAGAAAGTTGATGGTTCAATCACTTTCTAAGTCACATAGTGAGTTCCTTGGGACTCCTATGAAACATACAAAGACAAGACCCTTAATGATTTTATCCATTTGCTAAGATCAACTTCCTAAAACTTTATGGACATTGACAATGATGGCATTGGATATCCAGTAAAGATCTCTCTTCCCAATGGAAAGGGATCGGCTATAGTCAACTCGTTTGACCAAATGGTAAAGAGAAAGGCTAATTTTGTGATAGTTCCATGTTCCATTACCAAAGCATCCATATATTAAATTGCCAAATGAAGGGCATTAGTTGCGAAGCTTCCAAATTTTACCTAAGGATGTTAAAGTCAAAAAGTTTGACTCTACTTCAGGTAAAATCCATTATCTAACTCTTCTAAGTTTCTATTATGAGATTCTTGATACATGATGTGACTGGGTTACATGTTTATGTTTTAAGAATCAAAGAAAAGTGAAGAAACTTAAAGAAAGAATATGTTGAATCTGATCGCGTAGATGGATTTCTATCGCACAGTTTGAAGATCGGATTTTTGAGCTACTTCTTAGGAGTTATGAGATATTGCTTAGGAATAGATAACAAGTTTTCATATGGATTATAAGGATAAGTTTTTCCGCAAAGCTTTTAAAATAAAAGAAAAAAAATGATTTTATTTATTTTAAAATATCCTTACAATTGTATTTGGGGAAAAAAAATTGTTGTGTATATGATTCCATTAATAGCAAGAGTGGAAATATGAAATTGATTCTTTCATTTTTGGTAATGTCTAAATTTACCAAATAAGGAAAGATCCTCATCACCCAAGTTTCAATTGGACCGGAACTTGGAATCATGCAAGTTGTATAGCATGATGTATGAGAACTTTCAAGCATTGGAAAAATTAAGACTAACTACTTGTTCACATGGATGTGTGAGTCAAGTAACGGACTAAGGGATCGAGTACACATTCTTGTGCACTGGTCAAGTCCACCACAAAAGATCGATAAGATTATTCGTCATAATTTACTAAGGCTCAGTAAATATGGTTATACTTACAAGCTTAAGTGTAATTCTGAGACATTGGAAAAAGGTTCCAATGTATGACCGAGAGAATAAGAAGAATCAACTTAGGCAGAAGGATAAAAGTTTCTCAAATCTGAAAAGATAGGAGAGTACTTTAGTATCATTTTTTGTGATCATCTTAATGATTTAGAAACCATAGCACAATTAGTTCTCTAAGGAAATCTTAGTGCATTCTTATGACTAAGACGAGGAATCTTGAATTGTTGAAATGGTTAAATCAAGAAGATGAGTCATACTTCGTTCCAATACAAGTCTTAGAGTCATACTCCAAGATTGTAACTTGAATGACATGTCTTAGAGAAGGTTTAAAACACATGTCAAATGTAAGAGTAAAAGTTTTCTACTCTTGTACATTTGAAATTGGTAAGTTGTGATGTTTTGGATAAAACAAAGACCAACTAAGGCCAATTGTGTGAAGTGGGAGTCTTAAAGGTCAAGAGGACAGTGGGAGTCTTAAAGGTCTTGAAAGTCTCAAGAACTAATCAACACTACTAGAAAAACAGCCTTTTACGACGCGCAAACAATGACACACGGTGATTTACGATACGCAAAAGCGGGCGCTCTAAAAATAATGTCATCTCTTCTAAAATTTGAAGGATAAAGGACGTGCTTTTGTGTGTGCCCTAAAATTAATGTCCAACAAAAAAAATTAAAAACACGGAGGGCACTTATTTAAAAATGGGCGTCGTCTAGAAATGTTGCTTTATATTTTTTTTAATGAAAGGCGCGTTCTTTAATTTTGCAGCTGGGGGGAAACGAAAATCCCAAAAGTTTGAAAGGCCGCCATTGTTATCCTCTACCTTATTTCCTTTTTTCTTTTCTATCTGTCTTTATATCTCTCTCACTCTAATACCCAAAAAAACCCTAATTTCATCACCACTCCTCTTTTCTCCCGCAACAAAATCGCAATATCGCCAAAAATCTCTGATCCCGTCTTTTGAACAGATCAAACCCACAGGGGTTCTCGATTTCTCTATATTGATGTGTGGTGACACGAACAAAAAAAAGTGTAGCGATTCTACCTTTCAATTTCATTTTTCGAATGCTTCAAATCGACTATTGTTTTGTCTCTCATAGGGGTTTCTTTATGCGTTCCCTTCACCCTCATTGATGTCGTTTTCCAAGGCCAGTCTGGATAATCAGCATCATCGGTAAGTGGATGCTTGCATTCTTAACTCCTCTCAACCTTACATCAGCCTCACGTGATAATGTGATTCACGAAACGACGTCGGTTGCTGATGAAAGTTGCCTTCTTGCTTGCTTCTGGTCAGCCTGACATCACATTGAGATGGAAGACTTGGTGGTGGGTTTTCCTTGTGGCCGGTGGAGTTTCTTCCAATGACGCTTTCCACTCTTACATCCCCTTTAATTGACACCTCTTCTTCTTTGCTGCTTACTCACCCTAAATCAGGTAATACCGATACCGACCTAGCGGTGGGGTTTCCTTCTTGACAGTGGTGGAGTGTTTCCCCAAAGCTACTTTGATTCAGTTCATCTTTATATTCTATTTGATTAGGGGTTCTTGTTACTAACCAAACAGTAGCTGGATGGGGAAGAAGCATCAGGGGAGGTAGGAGGTAATCATAAAAAAGCGTGTTCAAACTGTTACACTTTCTGCTCTTATTATTATACTAACCAAACATTATGAATTTGTTGTGCAGATAAAATCTTCCTATGGAATCTCAAGGAATCTTTTAATTAAATTCAAAGATGATACGATTGATCCACCTTAGCTCAGGTGCTTAGCTCAGAGTCTACCATTAGTTCAGTGTTGGATATGTCAATTCGTTCACTCCCTGGTGATCATGGACTTCCTTTACAACAGGTTTGGTTGTTGTTGTTTCTGTTTGACTTATTAACTTAATAATATATCTTGTGTTGTAATTTGTAAACCTATTTGCATTGATCAGGCTTTGCCAGATGTCCCACAGGGAATGGTGGATGCTGTAAACAGGGGTGGAGAGCTATTTTCAAATTTAACTGCAGGGACACTTGAACAGATAACTTAAATGTTCCAAATGAGCAGCTAAAAATCTCAAAATCTCCCCCTATGAATGATGAATTGAGAGTCTCAACTGGCTCAAGAACTCTTGAACCTGTTGCATGTAAGTAATACTGTTTCTTATTCTTTTACACTTTTTAAAACAATCTAATTTGGTTTAAATATTTGTTCAACGACTTTTTGCTTTTTCCCAAATTTTTTTCATTGTTGTTTCATTTTAGAGTATAACATTAACATATACCCGAAAGATGCATCATTTTTTACCTGTTACCATGGTTGTGGAAAAACTGAAATGTTGTTGTTGCATAAATGACCATTTTACCCTTGTGTTATACCTTAAAAATTAAGTTGCCACAAACGTTTGCTACAGCAGAAGGTGTGATTCGAGGAAGATCATACAACATTAGGCTTGATGACCAAGTTCTACTAAGATTCTCACCCACAAAACCTGAATCAACTTATTACTTTGGTGATATGGTAAAAATAAACCTTTGTAATTGTTAAGAGTTGTTTTGCTATAATTAAGGGATAGGAAATTATACTTCATCTCAAATCTAAAAGCTTAGATTGAGGTTTTAATCGTATTTAGTCAAGGATACATATATGAATTTCATGTTGGAATGGCACAACATAAGGAAATTATGTATATGGGTCCATTATTTGCGTTCTAAAATTCGATTATGATTACGGCATCCCTTTTCATAATCTGAATTATGAGAACTTGGCAAATAGAAATCAAAATGTTATAGAAAAAGACTGGTTTAGTATTTATGTGAGACAGCATGAATCATGTCTCATATGCTTCGGATATAGGATCGATTACATGTTCTATATTCATCCTTTCTAAAATTTTCCAAATGCCTACGGCATTAACAAGGGAAAAGGTCTAGAATTGGATATGACTAAAAGGATTAAACAATTGTCGAGGACAATCTAAGGTTTACCAAAGATTTGTTGCTCAAGGACAGTTGGCAATATAGTGATAATTATAGAAGGACCATGTTGACATAATCTGTAAGGAGGCAACTCTTGTTCAGAAGTGATAGTCAAAATGGAATCTGGAAATGTTTCAAAGTTAGAAATTATTCAATATGTGTAAGATTAGGAAACTTAATGAAAGAAGGATGTTTCCAATGAGCTGATCTCTTTCGGAATGCTCTGTAATGGTTGTTGTCAAGTTTTTCTAACTTTGTGCATAATCATTACAAGAGGATCAATGCATATAAGTTTAGAATCTAACAGATTTCAGTAAATGGCATGAATTTGGAATTCTTGCATTTGCAATAAGGATTTGGGACTGTGAAAAGAGGATCATTGGAGTTATGTTGAATTGATCTATTTCACAAAATAAACATCATATACAAACATAGTATGCATACTTGGTGTATGGCATGACTAGTGTTTAGAAAACATAGTGTACATGCTTGGAGCATGGGACAATTATTGTTTTAAATTCAAGAATAAATTTGATAGTTGAAACATTATACAATGAATAATGTATAATCATATGGTGATAAATAAAAGGTGTTTTAGTTATGTTCATAGGTTTTGATACCATATTGGATTCAATTATTATTGTGTTTCGCTTTGCATGCTTTAACTTCCAGAATACCTAGGTCATTGTTCTGAATGACTAAGTTATTCAAACCATCCACAGTCGGCCATATGTTGGAAGTAGATATGAATCAAGACTGTCATGGGTTGGCTTTTAGAGGTCTAAGATGTTGGACAAAGGGCTACAACACTCATGAGTGCTCATAAGTTCTGAGTATTGGAATCAAGCCGCGCTCATTGGAATCACTTCATGGATTTTATCAAGAGTGATCATGAGAGGATAATATCTTATATTCTTCAAACCTAGAGATACGACTTGTTACTATGAGTTGGTTGTACATTGATTACATGAAAATGCATTCGGTAACTCGATGTTATAAAATGTTCCTTTGTTTATGATTCAACAAGTAGTAGAACAAGCCATATGAGTCGAAGTTTATCCATTCCTGTTACCTTCGGGATAAAAGCGATATTTGTGGGCCCCTCGATGATTTGGTGATGACAAATGTAAGTGCTCAGCCAGGCCAGGACTGATTTGATTTGTTCAATTAGTCAGTCGTCATAAATCGGATGTGACATCCCCAATTTCACGGCCAGAAAAGACCGATTTGTTTATGCTTTGTTTTTAAAATCAGAGTAATCGTTTACAGAAACTTGTTGCGGAATTTGCTCCCAAAGAAAAATATGATAAAAATTATCAAAGCATTTCTTTAAAGAAATGTATTTTCATTATATAACAGAATCTCGGGATGTCATGTTCAATACAGACCAAAAGCATAAACAAAACAAAATAGACCTTACAATAGTTATTCATAACTACTGGCCTATAATCCAAAATCTCTCGTCAAGTCCACCAACTTATACTCTTGTGCCATTACCTATAATGCAAAGAAAACTGAGTGGGTCAGGCTTGGGAGCCTGGTGAGCATATAGGGTTTTCAACCCACAATAATATAATTATAATTAATTATCAAACAATCAATTGAAATTCCCATCCCCATTATCTCCATTTCTTTCTTAAAGATTTACCCTAAGAACCAATTACCCTTCTCCCATTGATTCCTAAGGATTGCCCTAAGGAACTGGCACAAAGTCTAGTGTTGCCAAGGTTCTTAGATTACCTCTAGTGAACACACAATTCACAATAATCAATGAATGCTTATTTCAAGAGCACCTGATGAACACTTAGTTCCAATATTACCCAATGAACACCTAGTTCACAAATGCTTAATGAACACTTAGTTCAATTATCCCTGATGAACACTAAGTTCAAATATCTAATGAACACTTAGTTCGAATATCCCTGGTGAACCCAACCACCTAAGGAACACAGAGAATGAAAGCTCTTAGCTCAAACAACATGATAATAAAGTATATCTCGATCCTGCGAAACCACTAATGTTATAAACACATATAAATTATATTTCTAAAACAATCTATCCCATCCCGTCGATCCCCACATACTGACCCTATACAATTATCTTACGAGATCTAGCCTAAGGAATCGATATGAACCACAAACTGACGAAGCTGCTTCGGAAATTCCCTAGCAGCAAACGAGGATCAATAAAGGCATCAATTGAGGAGAATGGAATAAGTTTCACCACGAACCTTCGTTCGTAAAAGAAAGAACCACAAGACAATTAAGTCAGGGGTAGTTATCAATGTTGGGTTATGAGCATTCTAACACTCCTAAGTGTACATGCAACCCTAAATACCTTGGATCTATGTTTTCTCTATTATACATGCAAATATGAACATCCAAGGTATTATCCTAATCTAGCATACAAAACTATCAATATAACAAGATAGAATACATACCTCTTTGATGTAGAATGTCTTCATGAAGCTTGAGTGCCTAGTGCCCCAAGTGTGACACCTCAAATGGTTCACACAACACCAAATACACTTGGAATAACTTGAGAGAATTCTACACTTCATGAAAATCGGCTAGCCCTTTCTTTCTCTCACTAGTGGCCGATTTTGATCAAGAATAAGATGCTTATATAGTTATACAATTAGGGTAAACCCTAATTGTCATGACTTTCCATTTCCTTGGATCCATGGGTTCAAATATATCATGGAGCATCCATGGAGCATCATATGGGTTTTGGCCCAACTAGATAATCCATGGAGCATTAGCCCACTATATAAGTATGGATGATTTGCACAATCAACCCATATATTTAATTAGTCTTCTTTTGATCACTTAATTAATCCTAGATTAATTCTTGATCAATACTAATTAAATAATCTTATTATTCTTATTATTAATATACTAGAACTTATAATATATTAATAACCATAAGTGTCTTATTTCTCTCATTATAGTCTATCCAAGTGCATGATGCCATGCAACCCAAATGCACCATGTCGGGTCGGGTCAAGTCTTACCAATTATAGTTATGGACTTAGACATTAATCCAACAATCAATGCATAGGATGTGGTCTGAATATCGTGAGGTATATAACCCCCAGATACACCCTATCCAGCAATGGAAACGCTGACTAATGCCTAGGCTGTGGTCTGAACCCCCATACTCACCCTATTCGGCATCAGAAATGGGAACACCGACTAATGCCTAGGTTGTGGTCTGAATACATGAGGTATTTCACCCCCAGACGCACCCTATCCAGCAATTTAACACCATACATACCTAGCAGTGGTCTATTACCGACACACTTTATTAGGTAGTCTACGGAGTTCCCTTAATTACTTCGTGAGAGAAAACGCTGACATATGAAGCTTGTTCGATCACTTCATAAACGAAATGATGACTCCAAAGCTCTCTCAAAACAAAAGTATGGGGAAATACTAATAGAGTATTCTCGTACGCTCCCGTAACCGACACACAAAATTGTCAAAAGACTTTGTACATGATAGTACTTCTGGCACAAGCAACACCCAAGACACAGAGCTTTGAAAAGGACTTCGTACATAAAATGTACTTCTGTACGTAGGACGTACTCCACCGATCATCAATCTCTCAACACACGTACTCTTAATAAGAGGCTACCCAATGTCCAAACTTAATGGAACTAAACATCCCTATTTAAGTCTTAACCCATATCTAGGAAAGCCTATGATGCCTATAATCAATTTTCAATACTATCTCCATTTGGAAACGCTAACTACGAGTATACTTAACACGAAGTTTTAAGTAATATATACCCATCTTAACACATATGGCACCATAATTGGTACGTACGTTGTATATCATCAATTATATATATAACACGTATTTCGGGCAATAACAAATACTTCACATACATATATAATTAACACTTTAATCAATACTTGTATTAAAATTATGTCCATGAAAGGGACTATGCACATGATACCCTGTCGGATGAACACTTAGTTCAAAAATACATAATCCGTACTCCTCGAAGGCAGGGCTTAGGCTCGAGAATCTCACTTCTCGGGATCTTCAGGACTTCGGAACTTACTTC